GCCCCCAAAATATTTGCTGCTTCAAGTTCGCATGAATTCAAGAGAAGACTGAACAAAATTCAGAGCAGACATTTATTTGGCTTGGTAAATACAGAGAAAACATATATAGCTCAGGAAATCCCCCAAACTAAATATAGTTGGAGCCCAGGACAGTATTCAGGGGAAGTGCTTGTTCTTCCTGGCCTATAACCACTGTGGACAAAAAACTCGGGGTTGGAGGATCCTTGTTGTGACCTAGCGCAGCCATTCTTGTATACTTACATTAGAAATATCCAGTCTAATACAGGCACTTAATGCTACCATGTGTGTGGGAGCTGGCACACGTCTGCCAAATAGGGTCGAGAAGTGTATCTTCATCATATAGGTCAGTCTGAGATTCTTCACCTAACAGTTAAACCCACTAAGCTCTGCAATTGATCCACTACAGTAACATCTGGTTTGATAGTTGCAACTTCTGCTTTCATATCCATTTCCTTCTTTTTTGAATAGTCTAGTAACTGAGCACAGTGAACATAAGGATGATTCCTCTCCTGTACAATTTCAATATTTGCATTTGTCCTTCAATCTCTCTTCAGGCAACTTAAAAGTTGTTTTCCTTAAGCCTTTCAGGCAGGAATCTGCTTTCCCCACAACTCATGTCTAACATTTTCCATTTTATTCCCTTTCAATTTCTTTTTCCTATACAAAAGTTATTCAGCCAAGGCAAATTTCTTGCTTGTGTAACCTAAAGACTTTGACCCGTATGCACTGAAACAGGCATCCACAACAGCTTAGGGCAGCACTGCTCCGAGGGGTCTGTCTCTGCTAGAGGTGGCCCTTCACTTCATGTGGTGACAAACAGTAACATGTGACTCTCCCAGTGGTAGCAATTCCCACTCTGGTGCATCAGCTTATGCTGCCACTCCGGAATCTGGGCCCAGCATGTTTCTTATCCAAATAGCCCTTAAAGAAACATAAGGGTGGGGCATGACAAGGCTGCCACAAAGAATGTATGGCAGATGCATGCTGTGTATGCAAAGGCCTGAGTGTCATTTGACAGTGACTCAGAAAACTCTTTCTTATTCAGGCCGCATTCTTTTAATAGGAAAGTGCAAAGCCAGCTGTTAGGTAAGCTGATCAAAGCAAGAAATTGTGTAGCTAAGCGAGAAACCCACCGTTTGCCATATGCACAAAAATAGTTAACAGCTCTCAAGTATAAAAATAATCTCGCTAAAGTTCAAGGTAAAAATCACGGATGTTAAGAGCCAGACAGTCATTTTGTCCCACTAGGTCCTGGCTCATAGATGGACAGTGCTCCTGCAGGTTTTTGGGTACGCATTCTGCCTCGCTGACTGCCAGTGCTGGATATCTCCAAGGAAGCCCATCTACACTGATGCCAGAGGGGATGCACCCTGCCCTCCAGACCCAAACAGCAATGCTGACTGGTGTGAAGGGGCAGGGAACAGATAGAACTCCTTTTTGTCTCTACTTAGGGTAACAAAAATAGAGAACTCCCTTTGACTTTAGGAAACTAAATATTTACAAATGGGAGCTACATTCTATAAAGAAAGGCAATACATATACATACTGCTATATGTTTGTTTTTTTTTTTCCCTTTTCTGGTATCTGTCATAGCTTTAATTTTGCTTTATAAATATGTGGAAAAGCCTAAGGCTATCCACAAGGCTTTCCAGCTAAGTCACTGTGCAACTGTATGTCCTTTTGCATTATTTATGATCTGGCTTCATAGCTCAAAGGCACAAGTGTAAGGCTCTCATTTAAAAAAACAGGACTGGCTGGCCATAACAAGGTTGAGTATGGGCACCATATTCCCTGGCAAATAAAGTGGCAGCTGATACAAAAAGTGTTAAAATAAACATGGCCAAGTACTTTACTGTTTCATAATCAGCAACAGTATAATCTGCAATTAAACACCGCTTGTGTTATCAACTACTTGTAGGCACAATGTCACTGTTTATACGAGCAAGGATGATTCTTCAGAGTTTTGCACCCATTATTGAAGAGAATCCCTCAGGAATCGATGAAGATAAATGCTATATTGTCAGTTAAGCTGCTAGCTGTAGTACTCAAGATAGTTATAATACATTTGAATTAGCATTCAGCTATTGAGATAAAGCACCATAAAGAATGGAGAGAAAAAAAAATCTTCTCTCTGTAGTCTTGACCCTGAGTATTACTTGAAATACCACTCAGGAGAGCAGTTTATGGGTTCTTCCTTCCAAAGAGTCTTCAGACGCTGGGCCCAGGCAATCAGCATCTCCTTCCTCTTCTCCTCAGAGACATACTCGGGAGCGAAGCAGATGTGAGGTGCAAGGACTTTGACACCACAAAAGTGCATGATTCCATGCTGGACTCAAAGCAAAGTAAGAAATGCTTCAGGAAATATTCTTTCACTTTCAGTTCAAGAATGTGGAAGATTCAAATTTGAAACTATTTCTCTGACCCAATATAAGGCAGGTTTTCTAAACCTGTGTATTTATCAGGAGAAAGGAAATAATTGCAGAAGTTCATTACCTGTCCTGGCAGTCACTATCGGAGGCTAGGCATTAAGCAGAATGACATACAATACACTGAAAATAAGGTCACCTTCATTTATTCTGCTCAGTGGATTTTATTTTTAAGTGCTACTAAACCCACAGAACTGTTCTCTTCGGCTGTTGTATGCTATTAAATTTGCAAGGCTCAGAGACAGCCTAAAGTTCATTGTACTGTTTGAATCTCCACAGATTGTTCCTGAACTGCAGTGTATTTCTCATCTACTTCTAAATATTTTTTTCAACGTTTTGCCTCTGTCTTAGCCAAACGATCCTGAATGAAGGCTAGTGCCTTTCAAATCAGCTCAACTTGCCATTTTCCTTCTGTGTATTTCTGAACTCATGGTTGCATTTCACGTTCTTTGTTGCGTTGACTTGCAAGCTCTGCAGCTAGAGATCCTCACAAGGGCAGACAGCTAGTAATTACAATGGGTAGGAGACCAAAGAAATTAAGCACGAGCGTTGCATTATATCAAGAAGTAGCTGGCACAATTTGCCTTACCACCTAAATTTCTCAAAGCATGCTTGCTACTTCTGATAAAAGGGTAGCAATAAGAAAAGGCATGCTAACTTTCGTATGCTGATCATTAATGCCAGGATAATGTGTGACTCCCCCCCTGCCCCACATCCTACATGAATCAGGTAGCTATGGGGAAAAGAAATCCTGCATGCCGGGGCTAAAGGAAATCCTGTAACACCAGAGAAACTTAGAAGGCTGGCTGCACAAGCTTTTTCCAGATTCCAGTCTAGAAGAAGGGGCACAAAACAACTTTAAAACTCTGTGGACTTTTAAAGTATTCTTAGGTTTTTAGGGCCCAGTTTATAACCTGCAGATTCTTTGAACTGAAAACTTAATTCTTTCTTACTATATTTTATATTTCATATAAAAATAAACAATAATACAATGTTAAAAATAATTGGAATAATACAAATTAATGCAAACAACCACCAAATATTCATATATTATACCTGCATGGGCCACAGGAGATAGCGAATATCACCACTGATACCTCCTTTTGCATACATCTCTTTGCTTCCTCCAGTGGTGAAAGAAAACAGGGCTAATTTGTTCTAGAATTAAGAAAGCAGTGCTTGAGTTAGGCATGTTTACAGATGAGTGGCTGAATAGTTCAAGAGATATTCAGGGGAACCTGGACAACATAAATTTCTAGAGGAAGTGGTATCCTCTTCTTTCCCAGACCTTATGTGTAGTGGCAGCTCCGAGGCAAAGATGGACGACATACAACTGGACAGCAGACTGTGTGTCAGGGCTTTGGGCAGAGACAGGTTAAAAAGAAAAGGAATTACATGTCTGACACCCTTGTATGAAACAGGGCTGACCCTTGTTCTCCCCTGTGCAATGTTTGGAAAACTGTGGCTGGAAAGCACTCTATTACTGAGAATATCTTTATTCCTGTCCTTCCTGAACGCAGAAATTGAATGCTACAGTCCCCCTCCAAACTTGGGCTTGCTTGTCAGTTGCCAAGGAATAATTTGAGAACAAGTATTCCTCAGGTGTACTAAACTCCTGTGTTTCTTCCGCTTCTGTAACTACGGTATTAGCCATGGGCTTGTGCTCAGCTTCTATCCTCTCAGTTTTAGCTTCTGTAATTGAAATAACATTTTTCTAGGGCAGTATCCAAACTGCCTTGAGCCTGCACTCAGCATGCAGCTGTGATTGTTGGGGATTAATCCTATTCATCTCAGTGAGGCAGCCATTTCTGAAATTTAACAAATGGAAACATTTGGAATTGTTACGAAGATTGGAAATTACAGAGATTAATATGCAGTGAACATTAATGTGAAACTAATCATAGAATCATAGAATAGTTTGGTTGGAAGGGACCTTAAAGATCATCTAATTCCAAGCCCCCACAACTTCCACCAGACCAGGTTGCTCAAAGCCCCATCCAACCTGGCGTTGAACACTTCCAGGGATGGGGCATCCACAGCCTCTCTGGGCAACCTGTGCCACTGCCTCACCACCCTCACAGTGAAGAATTTCTTTCTAATATCTAATCTGAATCTTCCCTCTTCCAGTTTAAAGCCATTGCCCCTTGTCCTATCACTACGTGTCCTTGTAAAAAGTCCCTCCCCAGCTTTCTTGTAGGCCCCTTTAGGTACTGGAAGGATGCTCTAAGGTCTCCCTGGAGCCTTCTCTTCTCCAGGCTGAACAACCCCAACTCTCTCAGCCTGTCTTCATAGGAGAGGAGCTCCAGCCCTCTGATCATCTGGATGCTGCAGTTGTTACCAAATAAGATCCATCAGACAGTGGGCCAAAATTTTCCAGGTAGATATTCCCAGTGCCGTGGAGAATTAAAAATGTATTAATTGTCATCTAGAGATACTGATCTTGCCTAATTTATAAGCTACAGAGAAGGCTGAAAGGAGGTAGTTGGGACAGAGACTTGTGCGCTGGTTATTTCAGGTTTCTGATTAAGTTTTATAGTTTAATTCCAACCTTCGACATGTAATCCCAGAACAGGATCTAGTCACCTATTCTAGTATGTCACTCAGTACAGATTTGTGCAGTCCTACAGTGGTGGGAAGAATGGCAGACTATAGTTTTAGGAAATGGATTGATTTAAACTGTTTGCAAGCTGTGCATCCCAACTGTTTGCATCCCAGTGCACTCTGATACACCTACTAAATTATAAAGCCCATTCTGTAGGCCAACTAAAAATCTCTAGGAGATTGCTTAGATCTTTAGGAATCACTGCATTCTCCTTATCGTACTACCTTTCAGACAGTTTTAGCAAGCCAGAAAGTTACTCAACATGTTACCAAAGCATTATTTCAGAAGAGTGTAAAGTGAGAGCTTTAAACAAATGTAATGGAAAAGAAAGACCAGTGCTCTCAAGAGCATTATCCTGATCTTAATAAAACAATCTCAAAAACATACCTTGAGCAAACCGGAATCATAACAATTTGGAAATTCGTGAGCAAATCCTTGGACCAAGACTCTGTCCATCCAGCCCTTCATGATTGCCGGCATGCTGAACCAATACAAGGGAAACTAGGCAAAAAGTAAATTACCTTATTAGCACAGAGAGTCTGGGCCATCCTTAGGCCTGGTCTACAGGCCAAATCCTATTCTCTTAATCTGTTCAGATCTTGTACATGCCTTCTTCCAGCTATCTGTCAGGAGAAGCAGTAACTATGCTCAGCAAAAATAACTGAAGTTCTTTCTGTTTGTAGTAGTCTCAGGTACATACTCTGTCAGGAGAAGCAGTAGCTATGCTCAGCAAAAATAACTGAAGTGCTTTCTGTTTGTAGTAGTCTCAGGTACATACCTGAGCATCTATAGTGCACTAACACCACGGTGAATGTGAGGGCTTCTACACAAATTAAAGTTGGATATTATGAAGCAGGGAGATGTCATTTAATTCAAACTTAAGACTGTACAGAATTGCATCTCCTATTGCCGAGATGTAAAAGGAACATATGACTTAATGGAGGATGTGGCCAAAATGCAGATGCTTGTTACCAGGACTGACATCTGGTGACCAGTTCTGATCTGACAGTCTACTGACAAATGCCATAGGATCTTAAGACTTACTTTCACACCCTGCTGACATGATGACCCTGACTGATGTTACTGAGAAGAGAACTTCTGTAACAGTAGGACCCTCTGTTTCTAGATCCTCCAGTTAGCCTGGGACTAGCTGGAAACTAGCCTGTTTCCAGATCCTCCATGGGACTACAGCCGACAGCTGTCATGTCTTATTTGCATTATCTTGAATGCCTTATGGGCTCTTATTCTAGGATGCATCGCTATCCCTAAACCTTTGTACACACTGCAGTACGGAAGAAGAAATTCTGTAAAAGCTTAACCACATGTTCACCACTAACTCTAGAAGTGGTGAGTTTAGTCTGTAATAAATTTTAAATACTGTGGTGTCTTTCAGAGGCTTTTTTTCTTTCTTTTTCTTTTTTTTTCCACACCAGAACGTGTTCAACTCTTCATAGCATTCTACAGACAGAAAGTAGAAAGCAACCACTTCCTTCAGGGGATTTTTCGTTATACTTATCTCAGAAGCAATAGTGTAAAAATGATGAAGACTTACAGTGAAAGGCTTAATTGAGATAAGGTCATATCCTAAATTTCATCTAGAATCAGACAGTGGAATATATATAGGCTATGCCTAAGGCCAGCAGTCACAGAGGCACATAAAGAAATGTAAGGCTATAATTGCCTTATCCAGCACTTCTGGGACTTGTAGGGACCAAGGACAGAGCTAGCACAGTGGGGAACAGAGATGGCTTGTAATGGTCCGTTAGCAAGTCCAGATAGTGCTTCTGCACCTCAGCAATAATGAGGACAGTCCAGTCGGGAAAGTCCAAATTCCCCAAGCCTGCTGGCTGCTCCCAGGTGCTTGCCCAGAAAATAAGCCTCGCCCTGCTTTCTGCCAGCCTGCCTGACATCCATGCTCTCATATGTCTTTGTGCATCCAGGTATTAAGTTTGGTCCAGTGTTTGTAAATTACTGGATTTGCTGTCATTTCAACCCAGATAATTATACTACTGATCTGTATGTGTTACTGTACCATTACTTAGAGATAAGGCGTTTATTCCTAAAGCTGTTGGTCTGGTGTCTGTTACTGTATCCCAAATCTATAACTCAGTGGGGCTCCCTGAAGCACTTACACACATTTCTGTGTGTAGGTCTGTGTTTGCTTTGTGTGAGCTCCAAGACAAAGGGAGAGGATCAGGCTGCCTGATAATATGGCATGATTCTCATATTGAGAATTGTAGTATTATTTCGCACTCACTACTTTCTGGTCTGTGTTGCTCTATGCAATAGTTTTGGAGCGTGGGTAGCATGAGGACCAGTCTTCACAAAACCTATGCAATCAGTCCGATTGTATATTACAATATATTATATATATTACAATACTTTTGAATGTTAATGTTTAAGTGAAGCACTGCTTTGAATTTTACTCAGGTATTTTAGTGTTATAATTTCAGATGCATTCCTACTCCTCAAAAATGCCAGTGTGGAGCCATTATTTGTGTGAAAAATTCATACTGTGCTAGCATAAATAATGCTTACACATAATCTGGTATTCTTGGTATTTTCTAAAATCCACATCTTACCAGAAAAACCTGACACCTTGAAATTGCTATGCTGCATACAGACTGTTTTGTGTTGACGGCAGAGCTACAACCTATTTTTACTCTGGCTAGATTCAGTGTTCCTAATAAAATCTACAATCTTCTCAGTTACTATTGCTTTTCTTTTGTTCAACCCTGTACATTACAACGGAAGTCCTTTAATTGAATTTAAAATAATGACCTGAAAAATCAGTAAGTCTGCTTCCTGCACCTTCTTCTGCTCTTCAATCAGATCACTGGACAAACCTCCTCTCTTGTAAGCTTCCCATGCCTCCACACCATAATTGAACTCTTCTGAGTTGTGCAAGCAACCTGTGGGTAGAAGTGAACAGTCATTCCTTGCCCTGTTTCTAGCATTATAGCCAGATACGAATTAAATACAGATTGCAATCTACAGTTCTAAATTGAGTTACTGATTTCCATTTTTTCCCATTTCCTTTTTTTTTTTTTGGTGGATATTCAGCATTATCACAGCTGATGGTGATTTGATTTTAAACTGGAGAGGAATGTAGTATCTCAGAGTACTAAAACTTTTGCCTTTCTGTAGCAACATGTGAAGTGCAATAAGAGGACTTAAGCTTGGCTCAAGTCTCTGGTGATGCAGGTGGATGAGTTAAAGAGGATTTAGGAGAATTTTGCTAATTGCTCTGCCTCTGCATTAGGGATTACTGAAACCACCACACAGTCACAAGCACTATGTAGCTGCTTTTCAGCCTCTGTAACTGGGAAACTCAGCTGGGGCTGGGGAACCCGTATTGGCCAGCTCTCCTGACCTCACTACAGTTGGGTGAGCTGATTCAAGTATGTCTGAATCAGACATATACATTCATTCTGCTGATTCAACTGGTAGATCATCAATCTCTAGCAGAAAAGAGATGCAGCAGCCTCATGAACTAAACTCTAGAAAGTCACAGAATGGTACCTGAAGGCATTTCTCACCCACGAGAAATGAACTTCAGAGACTGACTGTGGACATGCGCCCCTCTCAGTAATGTCACTATGAGACCAGGTTCATATTCAGGAGCGGACTATTAGAAATGCTTATGTTTGGTCATTAATAAGTTTCTTGTTGTTTTTGCCAGCGCTCGCACTGGACCTGTGCTATTTCTTTTTGATTCTTGTTTTATAGAAAGAGTTTCAGCTGTCTCAGATTATGTTATGGCTTTGTGTTTCTTAACCTGGAAAAATGCTGGGGCTAAATGCTAGTAAGAGCACAGTGAAAATATCACATAAGCCTAACAAAAGCATCATTGTTTTTCTCAAGACTTAACTGCATCATCTAGTCATTTTTAGTAATCATATACTACCAAGGTAGTCGAGAGGTGCCAAGACAACTCAAAAGCCCAAGCACCCAAGTGCCTGGAGATAACTTGCAGAAAGCATTTGTAATCTTGTTGGTTAAGAGCAGGTCGTTCTTAGAACGTCTCTGCAGTTGATTGCAAATACTGTAAAAATAGTATTTTCCCTCATTCACTTTAGCCTAAAGGCAAAACAATGTTCTACAAATCTGTACTACACACGTATTTCATTCTTCTGATTGAGGGGTCATTTCTAGTGATAAGATTTATTTAAATAAAGACAATACTTGTTGAGTTCCTACACTGACATTTCTTAGTCAATGCTAATAGAAAATAAGAAGCTGGGTCTTGTTAGTTGAGGCATATTTGTACAAAATAATTGCAACTATTTTGCAGAGTGCACCCAACAGCATGGTTGTGGATTGCTAATGCAGCAAGATAGGGTGAAAATTTGTCTTGTTGTTATTGTTGAAAAAAGTGTATTTTGGCTAGTCTCACCAACAATGTCATTTCTTGTTGCTCTTGGCTCAAACTGCATTGCATATAAATCAGACACTGTAACACTGCAGCCCTGCTTGCTCAATTCTTCCACAGCAACCCTGCAAGATAGACAGGGTGAAAATTTGTCTTGTTATTGTTGAAAAAAGTGTATTTTGGCTAGTCTCACCAACAATGTCATTTCTTGTTGCTCTTGGCTCAAACTGCATTGCATATAAATCAGACACTGTAACACTGCAGCCCTGCTTGCTCAATTCTTCCACAGCAACCCTCTTCAAAGATCCGTTCAAGGACTTGGGCTCTTGATGTGCATAGACTATCAGGACTTTTTTCCCTGGAGGCAGAAAGAAAACCAGAAGGTACTTTTGAGTATAGGAGGCAGATATGAAACAGTTTGTGGAGCTAGGGCCTGGTCCTTCATTTTTCTGTAGTGTGTTTCCCAAGTGGCACAAAACTAGTGAAAACAGAATGACAGTAGCAGCTTTTGACTCCTGCTTGGCAGCAATGAGTGACTGACGAGGAACTACTCAGCAAATGCCCCCGACCCAGCAATTGTGTGCTACACTGGGCTTTCCTAGGTGGAACTTGGTGGACAGTGGGTGCATTTCCACAGCAGGTCATACTGCCCTACAGCAGCACAATGGAGTCCCTCCTCTTGAGGCAGCATTTGTGTTTATCTGATTCCGCTACCCCCCAAAAAAACCTCACCCAACAACAGGAAAAAAAAAAAGCAAGCTGTCTGCTGGCTTAGCTCCCTAGGCTGAGTCAGACAAGCTACAGTGCAAATGTCAGGGGTGGGCTGGGATCAAAGCCAGGCCAGCCTAGATTCCCTCAAAATGTTGTGGAAACAACTTCTGAGAGCTCAGAGCATCTTCCTACTGCAACGTGGGATCCCCTCATCTTCCAGCTCAGTGCTGTGCAAGTGACATCAGGGTAGATGTTTAAAATGCCACCAGCACATCATCACAGTGACTTCAATCAAAAGCAACATGATTTTTTTTCTTAGATGTGAGAGTAAGCCATCTGGTGTATCTCAAAGTGCTGACAAAATGGATTTAAGGTAAGCCGAGTGGCAAGACGGGTATGTTGGGATGGAGCTTCTTCAACTGATGTAACAAAGTGCATCAGAGCCCACTTGTTCAACATTTTATCGTACATAGGCCATTCAATTTCAATAACTCTCTCTCAAAAAAAAAAAAAATCATTGATCACTGAACACAATGGAAAGGTGACATACTTTCATGGGGCAATAGTTGTTTATACACAAACACTGCAGAGAGGGAGATTTCCAGGGACTATTGAACATGACTGGATCTGCAAAACATGCAGCTCTTGGTTCCTGACTGCCACCACAAAAACTCGGGCATCTCCTGAGTTCAGTTTCTCCAGGGGACACAGAAGCTGTACAGCCCAGAGCACCACCCAGGCGACAGGTAAGTTTAAGGTGTCAGAGATAACTGATAGAACCCAAACGAAATGCTTGAAGAAACAATACCTCGTTTTTAACCTAAATTATAAGGGGTAATTATTTCTCCAGTGTGCATAGCATCCATGAAACAACAGCTTTTCCAAAAGACTACTAAAATTTGTGGTCAAACGCTATCATAAATTTAAGACGTGTATAAACTATTTAAACCCCTGCTCTATAACTTATTCTGGAATATTAAGCACAGTTACATCCCTGCTGTTCCTGCTAACTCTCAGCAAACAGAGAGTTTGGTGGCTGGAGAGGACAGAAGCTCACAGATGCGGTAAGATTAATTCTGCAAGGTGCTGGTTTGTTTCCATCTCAGTGGAGCTGAGGGCACTCAGGCACAGTGCTCGGAGAGGCTGGAGTTTTCAAAGGCATCACTTAGTGAAGTAATTTCAGTCATTCGAAGAAGTAATACCTTAGTATCCCAACTAAACACTACAGATAGGCTACATACAGCGTGTCCAGGCCCGAAGCGAACAGCATTTTTATTACCGTTAGCTCTTACCTGCCATTTTCTGGAAGCACAGTAGCTTCTCTCTTGAGAACCTGATACGACCTGCGAACCCAAGTGACAAATTCCCTTACGTGAGAGACATCAAGAGAAGGTACGAGGGGAAGCC